AAGTCAGTCAAGAGTTCCTTTTAGGACTTTAAATTCTTTTATTCACCATCACTATGTCCTCCTAAAATTCATATGTTAAAACCCTAGCCTTCAATGTTAGGAGGAAGTCTTTGGAATATAATTAGGTTATAGGGATAAGAATCCTCATGGATAGGATTCCTGATCAGACCTGGGCTCCATATGCAGCTCTGTACTAATATAATAGCCACAAGTGAGCTGGGAAGGTTGCTCAGTTCATAGAGCGCTGGTATAGCAAACATGAAGCCTTGAGTTTGTTCCCTAGCACTGCACACACTTGGAATGGTAAGGCACATCTGTTATCCTAGCACTTGGGAGGAGGATGCAGGAGGATCAGGAGCTCAGGTCATCATTGGCTAGACGTCAAGTTTGAAACCAGCATGAACTATAGATAATAAATAAGAAGAAGAAAAGAGCTTGCTTCTGCTATCTCCCTTCATGGCAGGACGCAGGGATTTGGGGCTTGAACCTCCTACTCTTTTAGTACTGTAGGAAATAAATCTCTGCTATCTGAGCTGCATAACCTGTGGTCATTTGTCATAGCTACCTAAACCGACTAATAAAGCACTGATTTTCCTTTGAGGAAATTTGGCTACAGCACAGCAATTTGAATGTCTCATCAAGCGTCTTCGTTTTAGATGTGTCTGGGCATACACGCTTAGGTTAAAAATATATCCAGATCCATATAATCGGCACTCCACAGTGGAATCTCAAGTTTCCAAACTTCCTTGCTGTTACTTTGACATGATGCATAATTATTACCAGTGACAAGAGAGTAAACATTCGGATACCCAAAGTAAATTTTCTGCCCAAATTAGATTTCATTCAGTCTTCCACCTCTACAACAGAAATCATCTTTTCATTTGCAAAATTTGTGTACTCCAAAAATGCATGGAAATGGAAAAGGATGCTGTCTGCATGAGATAAGAAACATCATTACATAAAATGTGTTTCAGATGGTGTAGAAAAACAAAACTGTGATTTCAAATTCTCCACAGTGTAAATTGTTCAAGTACTAATTTTTTTTTTTTTTTGAGACAGGGTCTCATGTAAGGCCAACCTTGAACTTCCTATAGTCAAGGATGACCTAGAACCCCTGATGTTCCAGTCTCTACTTCTCAAATGCTGGGACTTTGGTGTGTACCACCACACCCAGTGTCTGTGGTGTTTGAGACCAAACCCTGGGCTTCCCACATGCTAGGCTGGCTCTCTGCCCATTGAGCTATACCCCCAGCCCTTAGAACCCGGAATTTATAAAGCTGACTCTATAATGTTACTCTCTGGGTTTTGCAGCTGGCACTTGGGAGGTGGAGGCCAGAGGATCCCAAGGACATTCTCTGCTCTATAGCTACTTCAAGGCCAGCCTGGGCTATAAGAGACCATGTCTTAAATATAAATAGACAAACAAATGAAAGTTCAGGGTTCTGAGGGGCCAAAGGGAAAGGAGCACATGGGGGGTAGGGTTGTTTTTATCTCGGCACTGCTGAGGATGCTTCTCAGACGGTGTGTCACTCTTCTGGCTCACCTGAGAAGGAAGCACATTGCATTTCCAGCAGTCTTCACTGAGTATCTACTCATTTCATGAGCTTTCTTCTGGGTTAGCTAAGAGTGGCCCCTCCCAAATCCACATTGAAACTCAGCCCTCACCTTGGCAGTGTCAGGCGGGACCACCGGAAGGTGCCTGAGTCACAAGGATTGCCCCTACAACAATAGATCCTGGACCTTTCTAAACGCACCTGTGGAAGTTTAGGGGACAGCTCCATCACTGAAGCATGTTTGAAACATGAAGACTTGAAGTTGGTTCCCGGAACCTATATAAAAAATCTGGGCATGGTAGTGAGTGCTGGATGGATGGTTGAGGGAGGAGTCTTGGGTTCACTGGCCATCCTTGCCACCTTTCTTGGGGATATCTAGGTCAGTAAGAGACCCTGCCTCAAAGAAACAAAGAGGTACAGAGCTTAAGGGATGACAGGAATGGCACGTGAGGTTGTCTTGGGGCCCTCATATGTGCTCACGCCCATCTCCACATAAACACGTTACCACAAGTGCACACACATATTAAATGAATTCCTATTCTTTAGAAACCAACTCTGCAGTATTTTATTGCAGCAGCACAGATGGGCGCCAGCAGCCTCCCAGATACCTTCAAACACTGTGCTGGAACAACGGGAAGATGAATAGGACAAGCTTTTACCTGAGAAGCTCACAGTCTGTTCTGTTCAGTGAATGCTTTACCTCATCTCACCCCCATTTACCAAAGCTATCTCAGAGAGGGTCATACAAATCAAATATGAAAACTAGAAGTTGGGCAGAAAACTCAGGAGAAAGCCTCTGCAGCCTTGGGTTAGCAACCAGCTTTTAGGCCATACCATTAAAAGCCCATAAAAGAGAAAAACAAGGTAAGGCAGACTTTGCTGATGTTAACTTGTGGGCAGCTCAGTGGGGAAGATTGCCAGCCTGGCATATACAAAGCTCTGTGTGTATCTCTCTGCTACATAATGAGTTTGGGTCCAGCCTGGGAAGCATGCAATGTTTTCTGAAGTGCACACATGAAGGATGGCTTGATGCTAAGTTGGGAGTAGAGTCCCTATAAATTTGGGGAAGGGAGCTATGGCAATGTCCTAAAATGAAACAGTGATAATGGCTGCACAACTTTATAAATTTTAAAACTCATTTAATTATATACTGACCACTGGAATTTTGGGATATTTAAGTTACACTTCAATAAACTATTTTTTTTAAAAAAAAAATACAAATCCAGAGTCTAGAAGATGTAATTCAGTTGGTAGTGTGCTGGCCTAGCATGCATGAAGCCCTGGGCTCAATCTGTGCTACATAAACTGGACATGGTAGTACACACCTGTAATCCCAGGACTCAGAGGCAGGGGCAGAAGGTCAGTCTTGGCTACTAGGAACTTCAAGGCCAGCTTCGGCCCCATGAGCTCTTTCCTCAAAACAAACAAAACTACAAATCTACCTAGGGTAGCATGATTGAAACACAACCCCCAACAGGAAACAGGGGTTTCCCTGTCTGGCCATCAACCTTTTACTCACATTGCTGGGAAAGATAGTGACCTTGTGCGGAGATGGAAGCCCAAGCTGGGCCTGGTGGGTCTTAAGCTTTCTGAACTAAATTGCATGGTCCCTGTGGTTATTGAAAACTAGAAATAAACTTACAAATTCTAAGAATAGACAATGTTGGCCTGTCAGAACTAATAAAGAGGTGTGTGAGAAGCCATTCAAACACCTAAACTGCCTGAATAATACAACATGCGCTGTATAATCATTTCGGCCTAGAAACATTTCGTCTGGAGCAGCCAGAGCTGACCCAGTAACTGTGGTAATAACATCTTCAAAGGCATGAAGGAGTTTACATGACAGATTTTTGTCTAGTTCTCCATCTCCACTGAGATCCAAACAAAACAAAATGATTTAATAATCAGCAAGGTAAATTTAGAATAAACACAAACAGCACTGACAGCAATTGCCATCAGATACTGCAGGAACTTTAATATAACTCGGATAGTCTTGCAGTTTCCTTGGTGATCACTGAGAACAGACAAGGCAGGCAGATGGATCTCTGTGAGTTCAAGGCCAGCCTGGTCTACAAAGAGAGTTCCAGGACACCAGGGATATTCAGAGAAACCCTTTCTCCAAAAAAATAAATAAATAAATAAAAATAAAAGACAAGGCAGGGCAGGGCTTGCTGGTGAGATGGAAAGCAGAAATGACTCCTGCAAGTGCTCTCTAACCTCCATATATACATACATGGATGCACATATGTAAATACACACACACTGACATACACGTAAATAAACAGTAACTTTTTCAAGTTAAAAAGAAAAGACAACAAAGCATTTTTAAAAGATTTATTTATTTTTATTTTATGTGTGTGTGTTTTGCATGAATGTGTGCTGTGCTGTGCCTGGTATCTGAGGAGGCCAGAAGAGGGTACCAAATCCTCTGAAACTGGAGCTGCTACTGATGGCTGTGAGCTGCAGTATGGGTGCTGAGAACCAAACCCAAGTCCTCTGCAAGAGCATCAAGTGCTCTTAACTGCTGAGCCATCTCTCCAGCCCTGTGAAGTACACTCTTAATCCCAAAATTTGGAAGTAGGTAGACCAGGAGTTCAAGGACAACCTTGGCTACATAGTGAGTGTGAGGTCAGCCTGAGACACATGGGAGCCTATCCTGAAGTAAACCTAGGGCTAGGATGTATCTCAGTTAATGAAACACTTTCCTACTGTACAAAAAAGCCTAGTTTGGGTACCCAGAATGCCATGAACTCATGCATCATAAATCACACCTATAATCCCAGCACTTAAGGGGTAGAAACAGGAGTTTATGGTACTCCTCAGTTATATAGAGTTCAAGGCCAGGCTGGAGTATACAAGATCCTGTTCTAGAAATATCTAATGATAATAGACAAAACAGAGAGCTCAGATCTGGTGCCGAGTGCCTGAAGCATTTGGGAGGCAGAGGTAGGAGGACTGCTACACGTTGCAAGCTCAAGGCCAGCCTGGGCTACACTGTGAGCACATGTCACACAGAGAGAAGGCCTGGAGAGATGATTCAGTTGTCAGTGAGTGCTGTGCAAACTGCTGAGTTGTTTGGATCCCCAGCACCCATGTAAGAGCCAAGTATTGTGGTATGTCCCTATAACCCCAGAGCCGGGGCCAGAGACAGGCAAATTTCTGAGGCTTGGTGGCCCGCCAACCTAGCCAAAAAAGGCATGTTCCAGTGTCAATAAGAGACCCTATCTCAAAAAAAATTAAGGTGGTGTGACGGTATAATTGTCTATTTGGCACAGCCTAGGCCCACACAAGAAGAAAGTGTCAGTGCAGGACTGTCTACACACACACACACACACACACACACACACAACTGTTTGACAGTTAGTTAGGACTCAGACTTGGGCAATAAATAAACATGGAGCAAGTCTGGGGAGATAAACATGATCCACTGGCTTGCACATCCCTTACCTCAATATCCCGATTCAGTTGCTTCACAATGGCAGTTATATTCCTGATGTGCTCTTCCAAGAACAGCCTGGCTAAGCGGTCGCCTCCCCCTTTATTCTGCATCTTCTGCAAACTGCTGACAATGTCGTCTTTGATGCGGAAGGCATGCTCCACCAGTGCTGCTGTGGTTTTCTCGTGACAGAGGATCCTGTCTTCCAGCTGCTCCACCAGGCTCACAGAAGAGTAGGGTGCCATGGTCAGGGACTGGCTGTGTCGGGGCATGGTCCTCACTCGCCTGTGGAAAGGAGCCACATTGCCAAAAGTTGCTGGTGAGGGAAAAGTAATCTCTCGAGCCAGATTTAAGACTCCCCAGAGAAAGAGACACACATTGTCTGTTTCTGTAAACAAATGGGATTAAGGGTAAAGCTTCTACCCAAAAGAGTTTTCTTTGGGAGCTAGACAACATTTTAAGGTGGCCATGCCCATGGAATTCAGTGGGCTGTTTGCAGGCTCTGTGGCCTCCAAGAAGCAGGAGGCTGACAGAACAAACACACCATGGCTCCCTGCTATCGGCTATGATCGCTGTGATAGCCAGATCAAGCTGGTCTCAGAGGTATGCTGACTTACTGCCTCCTTTCCCTTCCCCTACAGCAGTGATCATGAACTCCAATGCCTCTAGGGACCAGGCAGTCCCTGAAATGGGGAACAGACATCATACAGAACACAATCAGAAGGGCTGGGAACTCTGGAGAGCTAGAATGTCCCCTGGGGTACCCTGGTTTTTGTTCCACCTATAAAAAGACCATCTGAAATAAGGTCTTTTTTAAAATTTGTTTGTTTTGGGGGACTATCAGAATGATACTTCAGAATGAGCCAGGAAAATCAGATGTGGCTGTGAGATCATCCCACTCTTTAAATGATGGTTCATTTAGAAAAGACTTCCGATATGCAGGCTGTGCAATGCATTTCTGTGAGGCAGTATTTTCCCCCAGGCATCCAATGTGCAACTTCTGATTTCAAAGGGCTAAAGGGAACATTTGCTTCAAGATACACAGTGATTTTACTGTTAGCAGGAAGTTCAAGTCTATTGCAGAGCCCCTGTGAAATCTCTGCCTTTAGGGGTCATGGAGCAGTCCACAGGAGCCATGATGCTATAATACTTTTCTTGCCCTTAAACAAAATGACCCATTACAATGTAATGGCCACAGACTTCCTCTTTCATGACCCTTGCATCCTCTAGAAACCCTCCTAGGACTGGTGGAAAGAAAAATTGTACCTTAGATGCATATTTTCCAGATAGTATACCCTTCCTGGGTGACAAGAGAAGGAAATACAGTGTCCTGCTGGGCCATTTTCTTTTTAATAATTCACATCTGTTGGAAAAAAAATAAGTGCTAAATTACTAACAGTTTATACCTAGGATGTAAAGTACCTCAAACTCTGATCATTTAAGGCACCAGGAGGCTCCTAAGTTGTGTAGCCATACCAATCGGCTGTAGTTGTAAATGTTTTTGACTTTACACATGAAACAAACAGCCAGTGCTTCCCATGAAGGGAATGAGCCTTGAGAACCAAAGCAGTTCTGAAACAAGAGTGGTTAACTCTGGCCAGACACAGTGACAAGGACCATCAAATGGAGGTTCCAGAAGTTTCCTCATTCTCTATCATGAGCTTGAAAACTACTTTTCCAGAAGACCCTCACTCACCTCCTGAAATACCAGGCTAGAACTCAGCTCTTCCCACATGCTAGATAATTGCTCTGCCACCCAGCGACACCCCCAGTTCCCAAAGCAATCTCCTTAATAGGTTTATTCAATCTTGTACTTCTTCGTAGAAATTTTCAATAAGCCGCCTTAGTAAATCTGATCCTTGTGAGCAATTAAGAATGCTTGTTTCTAAGTGAATCAAAAATATAAACAATGCATGTTTGATGGAAGCTGATTTGGGAGAACCTATCTGTACACTTAGAGAATGGCATGGATACACTTACTTTAAAAACTTGGTTATAAAAATAACCATTCATACCAAATCTTACCTATGCACACTATTTGGCTGTTACATCTGATCAGAAAACTGGAGTTTTTCAAAGGTTTTAGAACTTAGGTTTCTCAAGCTGGTGGTTAATTGGCTCAAAACAATGAGTGCTGGTACCAGGAGCTGATTCTGTAATTAGCCCCATACCGAAGTTGGATTGAAAAAGCATTTCTGATTGACACCATTGTTTTGGCATCAATTCTCTGGTGTTTTATTTTTAGACTTTCAAAATGTGAACATTTCACTTTCTCAAAGAACTTCAAATTTTAAACAAATTACATGTGGGGAGGGGAGGTGGAGTAACTTATGTCAAACAGGCTATGGTGTTCAACAAGGTCTTGGGTATAAAAGAGAAGAATCTATCATTTAGATAAAATAGAATCAAGCCCGTGGGGGGACTTGGAAATCATAGAACATTTATACTTTGAAGGTACATAACACTTTTATGGGATTTTCATTAATGAAACGGTCCAACTTAAACCTCATTTTGCATCTATTAGGAACCATCCCACACCCCCAGCCAGAACTGCCAGCAATGACGGTATTATCTTAAATTGTAGAGGTGTTTTTCGTTTTGTTTTGTTTTATTTACTGTGATTGAATTTCAGTCCCATTTAGTACAAACTGATGACCGAATGTAGACTTTGGCCATCCCCTTCATGAGCTACAGAAATCCCAACCAGATGAACTTTGTGAGAGAGGAAAGGATGTCTCTTGACTACTAGACAGGCTCTTTCAGCCTCATCAATACCTTTATCTGGCACTGACTCCATGATATTAACTTCCCTGTGGCATAAGTTTATAAAACATACCAACATATGCTGGGGGCTGGTGTCCTTCCATGGGTGCTGAAAGAATCTGTTCATCTGTTTAGTTACCTGGTTGGTATCTCCAGGTGTCTGCCACAGTAGCAGGAGGGATGCCAGTTTCAGCTTAATTAGAGGCTGATAATAAATAATAGATTAAGTCCCTTCCCAGGTGGCACTTCCAGATCTTCCCATGGTCACCTCCAATGCAGCTGCCTGAAGTTAGCATCCCCCATTAGTTTATGCATCTGATCTCTGACAAGTGGGTCTACAGTGTAACCAGGAAGGTCAAGGTCATGCACTATTCTGATTGCCATAAACCCCAAGGTTTGCTTTTTGGGGGGGTTATTTTGAGATGGGACTTTACCCAGCTTGGAAGCAAACAGCCTTAACCACTGAGCTATGCCACCAACCCTCTTAACCTCAGGTTTTAAAGATCCTGCAAATTTCCCATTCTTGCTACCACTATCCACATGCCATGCCTGTTTGTCCTCTAGCGTCCTATAGTGAGAAGAAGTCCTAACCCAGCCTAGCACAGATGCCTGGGAAAGCAGACCCAAGAGCAACAGCAAACTAACCACTGTCCTGCTGTGTGCACAGCCAACAGTTTCCTCTTTCCTTCCCTCTCCCACCTGACCCCATAGATCCCTTTCTCCAAACACAACTTGAAAAGACCTGAGACTACTTGGGTTTTCTGTTTTGTTTTGTCTTAGTGCCTTTTTTTTTTTTTTTTTTTTTTTTTTTTTTTTACAGCTCTATGTAGCCTAAATCAGCCTTGACTTCACTCTACAGCATGCCCTTGAGCTTCAGATTCCCTTGCTTCTACCCCCAAATACTGACATTACAGATATTCACCACCACACAGAACATGGTGATCCAACTTAGAGTTTTGTGTGTTCTGGGCAAGAATTCTACCGAGTTACATTTCCAGTCCCAGTTTGAGACTACTTTTAAATGCTATGTCCCTCTTCTCTTATCTACTGCCCCTGTGCCAGATTGCTGGATTTGCCTCTGTAGTGTGAACGGTCAATAGTACCTCTTTTGGCTGTGCAGCTTAAACCAGGATACCTAATTTCCAAAGCCAATACATCCAGCTTGACCAGACCAAGGAAAGACCATGACCAACAGCTACAGCTGTCCATGAATCCCCAATTGGCCTCAGACAACAGACTAGCACACACAATCAGGCCTGGTATTCTTCATAGGCAGCTGACCTAGGTCACCCCAGGATCAAAAATTCGGAGACCAGGTGAGCCATTTATGGAAAAAGAAATGATCTGATCCAGCATATTCAAGGATGGAGGTAGCATTTTGGTTGTGAGGTGAACCCAAGAAAAGTAGTGAGCATCAGGACCATATATGATCAGTGAGGCATGTGTGTCCTCACACCTAAACATGTAGCTTTGTACATGCCTGGCCAGTGGCAGATGACTTACTTTAATTTACCACTTCTTGACACATTCTGAGTCCTACATCACCCTCAGAAACTCAGAAGCCCCCCTCCACTACCCTGGAAAGGACAGGACAAAGGCTTGTCCACTTTAAGTGTTGTGACAGTAATCTTGTTTGTCATAGGATTTCTCCATTAATTTGCTATATAGCCCAGGGTGACCTCAAAAATCTCAATACCCCTGCCTTGGCTGAGTGCTGAAATGAGCCATGTGTGCCCTCTTGCCCTATTCTATAGTAAATTTTATAAACAGCAGAAAGAAATGGGCCAAATGTAGCCAATAACATTAAGCATATCTTTATTCTGTTCTCATTTTCAAAATACTTAATAAACATGTTATTTTCACAATTAATTTGAACAACAAACCAATGAGCAGTAACAAATGTAGAAACTGCTCACTTTGGGCTATAAAAACTGAGAAGCAAGCCACATTCTGGGTTCAAAAGATGCTATGGTTCAATTAGAACAAAAATACTGTCGGGTATTACCTTCTCATTCCCCTGCAGGCATGTTATGAGACCTGAGCCAACAGCTCTAAGGTGTCACCCATAGCATTTCAAAAGCCCCCATTCCAGGGGCTGAGAGGTAGTTTAGAGGATCCCAGGTAGGTATTTCTAGTGAAATGGCTTTGAAGACACACTTGCCAAGGTGTGTTTTCTTTCCCTCTACTCAATTGCATTCACACTGGGTAATTTCTATTTGATTCATAACGTTGTGTTTCAGATGACTGGGGATGTAACTCAGTTGGTAGGATGCTTGCCAAGCATGAAGAAGCTCTGGGTCTCACAACCCCCCTCGCCCTCCCTCACTTCCCTCACTTCCACCCCTCACCCTCACAGCATAAACCCAGTGTGGTAGTATACATTTACAACCCCAGAATCAGGAGTTCAAGGCCATCCTTGACTACATAGTGAGTTCAAAGCCAGCCTAAGTTACCCAGGCAGGACCCTAACTCAAATAAAGGAGTAAGGGAGAGGCCCGGAGAGAAGGCTCAGCAGTTAAGAACATTTGTTGCTCTTTTAGAAGGCCTGAGCTCAGTCCCCAGTACCTACACAGTAATGCAAAACCATCATCCATAACTCCAGTTTCAGGGAACCCAAAACCTCTTTTGACCAACTAGGTCATGAACATGAAGCACATTTCATACACACATGCAGGCCAAACATCATATACATAAGATAAAAATTTAAATCTAAAATAAATAAATCTTAATGAGTTCTAGAATGCTGGACACATTTCCTGGCCTTCCAGCCAACACAGTGAGTTACTGGCCTCTGTGGGGCCATGTGGATTCACAAATAACCCCAGAGTGCAAGGAACAGTTTGGGGGCGCTGGCTCAGCCCACTCACCAGGGTTCAGGATGATGCCAGTGTTGTGAGGAGAATCCCTGCAAAAACAGATTGGTTTTGTTCTCATATATTAATAACAGCTATTTTAAAATGCCATTTAAGTCTCTGCTATTTATTTGAACTGTTTGTGGATGATGTGGATGAGGGGCTTTAGGACCGCAGGAACCCAACCCTATAGGAATGGAAGCCAGGCATCTTGCCTCCTCACAGATGCTCACAGATACAGATTCATCAGTCTCCCCATTTCTCTCATGAGGAGAAGCTCATTTTTTGTAGTTATTGAGGTGCTTGTGGTGGTTTACATAAGAATGCCCCCATAGGCTCATTTATATATGCATGCTTAGTCACCAGGGAGAATTGGGAGGTGTGGCCTTATTGGAGGAAGTGTATCAGTGGGGAAGGGCTTTGAGATTTGGGTTGCTTTTTTTAATGACTCTTTTATTTTTATGTGCATTTGTGTTTTTCCTGCATGTGTGTCTCTGTGTGATGTTGGATTCCTGGGAACTGGAGTTAGAAACAGTTGTGAGCTGTCATGTGGGTGCTGGGAATTGAACCCAGGTCCTCTGGAAGAGCAACCAGTGTTAACCTCTGAGCCATCTCTCCAACCCCAGGCTTTAAGGTTTTAAAGGCCCAGTTTGTCTGTCTGTCTGTCTCTCTCCCTACAGATCAGGATGTATCTCTTAGGTACTTCTCCAGAACCATGTTCTCTGCCATAATGATAATAGATTATGCA